CGCAGGGGAAGAGGGGCGCGCCGGCTTCGAGCTGCCCGCTCGGCTGACGATCGTTCCTCTTCCCCGCCGGCACCCCTCGGCTTTGGGTCAGCTGAACGCGGGCCACATCATTCTGCTGGAAGTGACGCGGTGTGCAGGCTCGGGGGTCGCTTTGGGAGTTTCCCCCATAATTGTTCCAACGGTGCCGGAAAGAAGCTTCAGCTGGAGGTGGAGGTGCGGGTGAGGGGCTGTCTCCTCCCTCTGCGTACTCTCCCAGGAGGGGTCTTGGGGTGGGGGGCTTTCCCCCCAGCCCCACCAGAGTAGGGGGAAAAACTTCTGTAAGGTTTGTTATATTCTAAATTTTGGCTCCGAGCACCTTTCTTTGAGCAGTGGTCTCAAGATTTCCTAAAGCCTAAAGACCAACAGTTGGCCAGCTCTTCCTTTGCATTGGTTTGCGTGGGAATTATAATCCCTCATCCCAAAGCACCTTCCTCAAACAAGATTTTGGCCGGGCGTGGTGGCGCACGCCTGTAATCCCAGCACTCAGGAGGCTGAGGCAGGAGGATCACCATGAGTTCAAGGCCAGCCTGGAATATATACATACTGAGACCGGTCTCAAAACAAAAAATTTTTTTAAATAAATAAAATTTCCTCATTAATATGAAATTGCAACAAACCCAAACGATTCTCTAGAAGACAATGGTTTAAGGTCATTCTAGAGTCAGAGAATTACACACTGGGAAGAGTCTAGAGCCCGGAAAAGGTAACTATTAAGACATGAATTTGACTAACTGGAGAAAGCTCTACATGGGGGAGGAGAAAGCAATATAAAAAGTGAGTTCACAGTCAGGAATGGTGGTACATGCCTGTAATTCCAGCCATTTGGTGCACTGATCCAGGAGGATTGTGAGTTTGAGGCCAGCCTGAGCAATTTAGCAAGACCTTGTCTTAAAATTTAGAAGTTTTGAAAGGGCTGGAGATGTAGTTCAGTGCCCTTTGGGTTCAATCCCCACTACCAAAAATTAATTGAAAAATGAGTTCACAATGCTGAAAGATTTCCTGGGATATTGTTTTGTGCTCATACGAGATAAAATCCAGGAAATGCAAATCCCTTCATCCCAGGACACCCTGGGTGAGACAACTGGAGGAGAAGCCTGTGGGAGGAGAGACCTGGGTTTGTGAGTCTCTACCCATCACTGTGTGACCTTGGGTAATCAGCTTCACTCTCTGAACATCAGAAACATGGTGAAAAAGAAAAAAAAAAAAAAACATGGCGAGCCTGGCTGTGAAACGCAGTGGTGCCGTATGGTGCTCAGCACCAATACCAATAAGTAAATAACATCTGTCTCATCTGACACTCAAGGCTGTTGGCAAGCTCCAAGGAGCACATGTAAGGGAAACACAGTAATGCTAGGCAGCCGGCTCTGAATGCATATAGCGTGCATGATGCTGTTCCTGAGCGCAGTGCTGGCGAATGTTTTAAGGCTTTCAGTGGTACAAACAGCGTGCCGTAGGTTTGCCACCCCTGCCCTGGAGCTGCAGCGGTTAGACACAACTGTTGGTTTGCTTGCTCATTCACTACTTGCTCGTGCACATATTTCGAACAGCTTGCTCTGCGATCAGGAAAAGCTCAGCCACCTGAGCGAAGAGAGTAACTGTTCCTAGCTGGAGTGAAAGGTCTGCCACGGGGAACAAACAAGAGAGAAGCCTGGGTAATTGATGACCCAGATCAAAGGCTTTCTAATGCATTTTGGTATGGAGAAAAAAATTGGTATATTGCATATCAAAAAGTTTAGATTTTGTAGATGACCGAGAACCTGGGTGTGGACAAATGGAGCCAGGAAGGGAGTTGATCAGATAAAACTCTGGCATATTATAGAGGAAGATTTAGAAGATGCTTAGCTCGCCTTCCCTTTGTCCCTCCAGATCTTTGTCTTCTAACTTCCTGGTAGGGTTTGGCCAATGGAGAGCCACGGCAGGAAATTGGGTGGGTAGAGGTGTAGTGGGTGGTGGTTAAATTTAAGTGTGTCAACTTGATTGGCTTGGGAGCCTTCTAGGGGATTAATAAAGCACTTTTCTGGGCATGTGTGGGTGGTCACAGAGGTGTGACCTTAGGTACTAGATAGAGTCCCTGTCCCCTTCCTTTCTGGCACTGTTCCTCTGATTCCAGCCACTTCACCATGCCCTTCCACCGTGATGTTTTTGGCTTGGAGCCAGCTGACCACAGACTGGATCCCCTGAAACCGTGAGCCGATTAAACTTCTCCTTTAAATTTTGTTTGTTTGTTTTGTTTTGTTTTGTGTACCGGGGATCAAACTTAGGAACTTGTGCTTGCCGGGCCAGCAGCAGAACCACTGAGCTAAATCCCTGGCCCTCTCCTTTAAATTTTGGGTGTCGGGTGCTGTGCCCAGCAATGAGAAATCTGACTAATACAGGAGATCATGGAGGTCTGGAAATTTACTTTTTGTTTTGAGGTTACTGCGGGCTGGATGCCACTGTCGACCAAATATGATGGATTCTCCTACCCGAAGTGGTTCTTTCCCCTTTTTCCTCTTATTTCAGATGATCACTCCCCTCTTTTGATTTTCCAGGCAGAGATGGGGAAACCCTGCTCTGCTGCTGGTCTGCTGAATTGTCCACTATTCCTGTGGCCTTCCTATGACTTGCTGAGCTCTCATAAATTTTTCTTTCAGTGCTGGGAATTGAACCTAGGGCCTTGAGGACGCCAGGCAAGCACTCTACCGCTAAATCATACCCCCAGCCTTTTCTTTGGCTGGGATTATAGGCATGTACCACCATGCCCAGCTTTCTAATTTTTTAAATGCTCTTTGAATTACACCTCGGATAGTGTGCCATTTGCCTCCTGACTGTTACAGGTCAAGAGTGCAGACTGGAAGCTCAATAGGGAGGCCATAGCTACATTCTGATCACAGGATCAAGGAAGCTCAGAGCAATGGCAGAGGGATGAAAAGGAATGGATACAAGACATAGGATGTCCAGTCAGTGCTATTTAGCAAAGTATTGAAAGCCATAGGGCCAGCGATGTAGCTCAGTGATGCTGTGCCTGCCTGGCAAGCATAAGGTTTTAAGTTTGATCTCCAGTATTGAAAAAAAAAAAAAAAGAAAGACAGGTGTGCCGGTAAGACCAGCTCTTGAGGCAGGATTGCCATGAGTTCGAAGTCAGCCTCCGCTACCTGAACTACACAGTGAGACCCTATCTCAAAAACAAACAAAAATGCCAAATGTATTGAAAGTAGGGGGAAATTTTTTTGTTTTATTTTGTTTTTGTTTTTGTTTTTTTGGTACTGGGGATCAAACTTGGGTCCTTGTGCTTCCAAGGCAGGTGGTGGAACCACTGAGCTAAATTCCCAGCCCAAGGGGGAAAATTTTTAAATAAAAAAACAGGTTGCCTGCCTCACAACAACAAGGTCCCAAGTTCGATCCCCAGTATCCAAAAAGAAAAAAAAATAGGGAGTTTGGGAGGGGGTGGAATCTTGGATTGGTCCTCTCTTGCTGCC